TCTTTTACTTTCCTTTTTAGTTTTATTTTAGGATTCCCTATTTTTAATGTTCATACAGAGATTTCTTTAACTGAAATACCGAATAGTTTCTTTGGTGTGAAAAACTATAATAGTACACAGGATCCTAATGAGATAATTAATAATGTGAAATAGGAAGTAAAGGGCTAAAGGTGTAAGGAAAGTGGGAAGGTTGGGGGAAAGGTAATAAGGGAGAGGAAAAAAATATGAGAAACTGAAAAAATGGAAACAAAGTGTTTGTAAATGGGGAGGGGAGGAGGGGGTGAAGGGAGGGCAGGGACAAGGGGAAAAATGAGAATCAAGACCTCTTATGTAAAGGTACAGAATCCCAATGATGAATGTAACTGTATTTTATACCTAGATTGTACCAATAAACTCAATAAAAAAAAACTTGAAAAAAAAAAAAAGAGAAAAACAATCCAGGCATTTGCAGTTTTCATATGACCATATATGTAACTCTCAGTTAAAGTACTTATTCAGAGCAGAAGAAATTGAATTGCTTATAAGTGGAATTTGGAATCTAGATTTCCTGTTACTAGAAGAAACTGCGGAATTTGATGGTGGCAGTACCATGGACTCTGCTGTGATTCAGTGACGTGTTTAATGCTGAAAGAAAGGTTTCATTCACCAAAGGCACGTGTGTGTTCTATGTATCAGATCTTTGTCTCTAGGTGCAGTATACTTCCCACGTTAGCAAACTCAAAAATTTCTTGTCTATAAAATTATTTCTAATATATTATATACTTGTAATGCAATCATCAATTTAGTTACTCTCATGATTTATTTCATGAATGAAATGTTTTACTAAGTCTCAATTTTCTCTTTTATGTGGGTTATAAATTGTCTAGTCAGGAATGTATATCAGTGGCACGGCACAGTGCCTGCCTGGCAAGTGTGAGGTCCTGAGTTTGATCTCTGGTATGCACACAAAAAAATTATCTAATATTCGTGGTGACAAAAAAAAGAGAATAAAACAAAATGAAAAGACCACTGACCTTCCTTCTGATCTAAAATCCAGCTAAGAACAGTGCGTGAACCAGTCAGCATCCTACCCCTTCCTCCAGCCATTCCTTACCTGCTAAGGGTGACGACAGGGGCAAGCCCGGGGGTGCTGCAGGTGGAAAGCTGACCCTGGGGCCAGGTGACATTGGCCATCAGGAGGACATTGGGGAGTGGCAAGGAGGGCACTGAGGAGGTCACCCCGAGGATCACAGTGTTAGAGTCTTCACCAAGATTCATCCATCTTCCGGACTTGGTGACCTGGAAATCAGCCCCCAGTGCATGGGTCACAAAGGATGGATGGATACAGACGTCAGAAAAGGACACTTCAGCTTGGTGACGGGTATGAGGCATACTGCGCTGGGCCATGACTTTCTACTGGTCTCTTTTGTTAGTCTCCCCAAATAGACTTTAAGCAGACTGGAAAAAGAAACTTCATTATGTTCTCTGTATTATCTAGATGTAAAAAGATGCATGAGTGAGTAAAAGCTGGACTCTGAAATTTTTATCCCCTCCTTCCTCGGTACACAAAGCCACACTGGTTTCTGAAGAGCTCCCCAGAAGGGGAGAGGCTTTTGAGAGGGGAGGACCCAGATAGCTCAAGTTGAGTGCAGTTTTCGAGCTTCCCTCAGCCTGGAGTCTTGAGTATGATAAGGACCTGTTCTTCTGAAGCACCCAGAGGCCGCCGATCAGGACAGGGAGATTGGACGTCTGCCTGGGACACAGCATCTCAGCTCACTAGGGTTGTGCTCTCCAGGGTTGTGCTCATCAAGGAACCACAGGTAAGGGAGGGAACATCTGAGAAGAGACCCCTGTGTTCCCAAGACCAGTGTCTGTCTCCAAATGCTGTAGACTTTGTAAAGCTGTCAGACCACTGTACAGACCCTGGTGGAATTAGGGACAAGGGAAAGGCTCTAGCAACAACAGAAATTTAATTCCCACTAGCCTGACCAGATGGGGCTCCAAGAGAAATGAATTTTGATTTGGGGGGAAGGGAGTGACAATTCTTGGAGCCTGTGTTATAGAGTGAAATTCATACCCCTCACAGAACATAGAGGACTTCACATGTCGAGAGTAAGTGCTCAATAATGTTTGGGGCTGATGCTGTTTTGAGGAGACAATGGTAAAGGAGATGGTGATGTGGAGGTGAGGGGAGAGAGGAAGCAATGAGAAAGAAGACACCACAACTGTAACTCTGGAGGTCAGATAATGCTGCGCAAACTCTGCAGGTCCACCTTTCCCTGGCACACTATGAGATTCCTGCTGCCTGGGTCCTTTAGTGTACACTCAGAGAATCTAAACAGTTTTAATATTAGACCCATGAGAACACACCTGATGCCAAAGCACCATAGTCAAAGAGAAAAGACTAGAAATTGGAGCCTGGGTCTGGGTCCTGTCACTGCTCCTTCTCTCCCCAGGGTTGCTAGCTGATTCCCTATTTGTTCCTCTGGGGCCACCAGGGGCATGGAGCGCTAGGAGCCATGAACAAGCCCTCCCAAGCCGGGACCGCAGTAGAGAGTAGTTCTGGGCTCTGTGAAAAGTCTCCAAATTAAGCCCCAGACTCAGCTAAAAGGGGTCCTTCCCTCTCTCCTACAACTCTTTGCCACTTTCCCACTCCATCCAGGTGGGCTATTGTTCTACAGAACCTCTGTGCCTTCAGTCTCCCTGGATCTTTGAATGCCCTCTGTCTGGAACCTCCCGCCCCTTCTTATCAAAGTTTCAGCGATATATCAAAGAGCAGTTGAAGACCCTGTTCTTTGGGAGGCTGTCTGCAACTGCCAAAGTCCAGAGAGAATGCCCTGGATGCCCCCAGCACCTGCTCTCTATTCTCATGCCAAGGGGATTGGCTGGTCCAAACCCTCTGACACAGAGCATGTTTAAACAGTTACTGTTTTATAGCAACTAGTAAACCAAACCATAAGCTTCTTGCCCAAGGCTGTGATATTCTTGGTATCTCCTGGCCTGCACACAGTGGACGTTTAATATGTGCTTGCTCTCTGGCTAACTGGTTACATCACACTGCAAAGGAGCATGGGTAAACAAGTCAGGTTAGAGGCTGTAAGATTTGATATCAGACAATTGCCCCATACTCCATCTTTCCTAAACTACAGATGCTTGCTTCTGTTGGTTATATTATCACTCTTTGGAGGAGTGGTAGGATCAAGGCAAGACCAATTCACTTAGGGCAGCAGTGGTAAACCTATGTGCCACAGTGGGCACAAACAGCCCTCTCGGTCAACAGACAAGCCAACTGTATCAGTTGTTTTTTTCTAAACTAAAACCTCAGCATCCAGGTTTACTTGCAGTGCTGGCACTTTGTGATAGATAAGTAGGTTTTGGCCACCACTGACCTAGGCTCTTGCTTGCAAACACAGCTGTTTTTCAGCCATGCTTGAGAAAGCAGGTTGGATCTCAGAGCAGAGTTTCCAACTGCAGCCTTCACTCTCCTAAACCATCCAGGTGGGTGAAAGCCTGTGGGAACTGCCCCTAGACAGAGCTCTGACAACTCTATAAGGCCTGTATGTCGTTTCTTAAAGCATGTGGCCAGCAGGGAGCTCCTTTATGCTGGAGGCATAAAGTAAAGTGAACATGGGCCCTGCTTTCCCCAACCTTTCCAAGTCTATGGCATTTTGTTTGTTTGTTGTTTGTTTTTTGAGACAGGGTCTCACTTTGTAGTTCAGGCTGGCTCTGAACTTGCCATATAGCCCTGGCTGGCCTAGAACTTGCAGCAATCCTCCTGCCTCAGTCTTCTGAGTGCTGGGATTACAGCTGTGCACCACCCTGCCCAGCATCCACACCATTTTCTGACCAAGGCCTAGGAACAGTTTTTGGAAAGAGAAAGACAGCTGACTCTAAAATGCATGGGAATACCTGGATAAAGTTGCTTTCAAACACCACTGAGTTGGAGAACAAGTTGAATTCTGCAGAATGAATCAGTTGACAAAGAAGGCCGTTTTCCACCCCAAGTTCCACTCCAGAGCATGGTTCCTTGACCTCAGGAGGAAGGCCCCTAATTTTGCTCATTGGTTCTTGGGAAGAACAGGCTGGGGAACATCTCTGGGGCTCCAGGCAGACCCAGCCCAACTCCAAGGTGTTGGTGTGACCGCTTGTCCCTCCTCCAGAGCTCCACCCACCCTCCTTACTTACAGGGTGTCTACCAGGGCTGGGAGCGCCTGTCAGCTCACAATGGCAGGAATGACATCAAGGAGTATGATGGATAGCAGCAGGAAAAGGAAAAAAGGAGAGGACAGGAAGGGCAGAGGATGTGCAGCACTCTTGATCCCTTTTCTACTAGCTACAAATCAGCAGTAAAGTAATCTATCCCATTTCCTACAATCTTACCTAAAGCAGGAGGAAAATGACCCCCTCAAGATTACCTGAATACAGCAATCCTCTGGCCAGGGCAGCAAGGAACGTTTTGGGGAGCCTGCAGTCTTTAGTGAACCCTCACATAAAAACTTTCTTGGTGAGGCAGGAGAGAAGTCAATGTTTCTCAAGAGGTACTTTCTGTCTTTTTCTGCCACAGCTGCCCCGGGCACCTCACAGCAGCCAGACATGGCTAATTCAGATGCCCCATGGCTCCTCTGGGAGGCATTTCTTTGACTACAGTAAGCTTCCTTCACAGGTCCAGCCCAGCTGACCCTGCCCTCTGTGACTGTTCTCAGTCTGGCTTTAAGGAGCCTACTCCTATCTGTAACTAATAAAGTCTGCAGTTAGCTAGCAGAATCACTGCATATGAGCCCACCTATTGCTTCTACTTTAGCAACTTCCCCGTACACTTAGCTGCTCAGTTTGTGCTGTGTGTAAGTCCTAATAAAACCTTTTTCGGATTTTCTATTTTTACCTATTTGTGTTTTCTATCTTGATTAGAGCAGGCTGAGCTGATATGCAAACAGCTGGTAACACCAAATGCGGCTGGCATGGAAAGCAGCCAGCAGCTAGGGCTGGTAATCTTGAAGGTGGCTTGCAGCCAGAGCAAGATGGGGAACAATGGAGAGCTGCCAGGACCGCCTTCTCCAGGCTCCAGACGAGCTCCTCTGGTATGCTGGTAGCTATTGGCTCTGGCTCCCACAAGCCACTAACACTAAGAGCTGATAGCTACTGGCATTTAAAACTCAGGGCTGTTTTTGTTTGTTTGATTTGTTTTTGGTAGCAGGGATCGAACTCAGGTCCTTAGGCTTGTGAGGCAGGTGGTGGAACCACTGATTTAAATCCCTGACGCAAAACTCAGGGTTAACACCAAAACACTTTGCTTAACTGTGATTTCTATCTGAATTGAACAAAAGAACCCTCAGCCATTTGGTAACACAGTGAAAATTGTTCACCAAAGGCACAAAAGTGTGGGGAAAAGGGAATTCATTTCCCTGCTTCATTTCATGGGATAGAATGAGATTTTTTAAAAAATCATCTGACAGGCCAGGGATTTAGCTCAGTGGTAGCATGCCTGCCTGCCGTGCAAACACAAGGACTTGAGTTTGATCCTGGAACGGGGTAAAAAATCATCAGACTGTTATTAACAAAGAGATCTATTTGGAAACTGGATAAAGCAGAAAGCAGTGGTATAGTGGTGTGCTCACTCTCCCAAAGAAAGCCACTGTTAATTTATCTTCTTAGAACATGTTTTTTTTTAATAGCAAAACATTTATTGGCACATTTTAAATGTACATAATGAAAACTCTCATCATAGAGAATTTGCGCCAGTACATGATACCTCCCATCTATTTTTTCTCAATCCCCCCCAAACTCCTTTCACCTCGCTATGTGCAAACACCCATTTCTCCATTTTCACATTTTTTCTTGTCCCTTCCTTCTTTCCTCCCCTTTCCCTTGTTCCCCTTCCCACTTGAACATTTTCTTCCCATTTCCCAATATCTATTATACGTTTTAGTCCTTTTTTCCACTTTCAGTTTCTCACATCAGAGAAACAATGTGTGTCTTATTTATTTCACTTATGAGTATGGTCTCAAGGTGCATCCATTTAGCTAGAAATGTCTCACGCTTATCCTTCTTTGTGGCAGAGTAGTACTCCATTGCATAAAAAACCTACATCTTCTTTATCCATTCATCAGAGCATTTGGGCTATTTCCAAAATTTAGCTATTACAAACTGTGCCGCTATAAACATGGGTGTATATATATTGCTGTGGTCTGTTGCTTTTAATTCTTTTGGGAGGATGCCAAGATGGGTAATAGCTGGGTCAGATGGAGTCTTTAGTTTTAGTTTTTTGAGGCATCTCCACATTGATTTCCATAGTGGTTGCACAGTCTGCACTCCCACCAACAGTAGAGCACAGTTCCTTTTCCCCACAGCCCTTCCAGCATTTGTTATTGGTTGATTTCTTGATAACAGCCATTCTTTCTGGAGTTAGATGAAATCTCAGAGTTGTTTTAATTTGCAATTTTTTTTTTTTTTTTTTTTTTTTTTTTTGGTACCGGGGATTGAACTCGGGTCCTTGGGCTTGCAAGGCAGGCCACCAAACCACTGAGCTAAATCCCCAGCCCTAATTTGCAATTCTTGAATGACCATTGATGATGAACATTTTTTCATATATTTATTTGCTGTTTCTACTTCTTTATCAGAGAAATATGTATGCATTTCAGGTGCCCATTTTTGGACTGGGTCTTTAAATTGGAGGTGGTCTGATTTTTTTCTTTGAGTTCTTTATATATATTCTAGATAGCAGTCCTTTGAGGAAGTGCCAGCGCAATTTTTTTCCCCATACTGTGGGTTGTCTCTTCATTCTGGTGGTTTCTCTTGCTGTGAAATAGCTTTTTAATAAGATGAAGTCCTAGTTGTTGATTCTTTGTAGTATTTCCCATGTGTTCTGGGTTTTGTAGAACATGTTTATAACAGACATACTAATTTATATATCTAGAAGCAATGTTTGAGAGTTCATGCTTATCATAGCCCCACCATTTTTATGGCACCAAACTTGTAAACTTCGACTAAAAGCATCACCCCAATCCAGCAGTGCTGGGGACTGAATCCAGGACCTTTACAGTGAGCTATATCCCCAGTCCTTTAATTTTTGAGACAGGGTCTCACTAAGTCACTAAATTGCCCAAGCTGGAATTGAACTTGTGATCCTCCTACCTTAGGCTTCCAGAATGCACTACCATGTGTGGTTTCAGGCTGAAGGTTTAAATAAGGTATATTAATGTAATTTTAATGGAGCCTTTTTTTATTTGTTTCACTTTTTGTCTATGAATTTTCTGCTCATAACTTTTTTTAAGGCCTTTTGAGACAGGATCTCACACTGCAGGAGGGGCCAGCCTCAAGCATACTGTATAGCTAAGCTGACCCTGAACTTGCGATCCCCCTGCCTCAGCCTCTTGAGTTCTGGGATTACAGGCATACACCACCAATTTCTAGCATTTGTTAATTTTTCTGTTACATTATTGGCCTTTTATTAATCTATTTATAGGCATTATTATTATTATTGTTATTATTTTGGTACTGGAGATAGAACTTAGGACCTTGAATTTGCAAGGTAGGCAGAAGCACCACTGAGCTAAATCCCTGGCTCTTATAGGCATTATTTTTATATTAAAAAATTAGTCCTGTCTTATATAAAATGAGATTCATTTTTTTTCTAGTTTGTTATTTGTCTTTGAATTGGTTTACAGTGGTTTTTGCCATGTGGAACTCCTTTTGTAATTTTAATCAATCTTTTTCACTGATGGCTTTTAGATTTTTGCAATTTTGAAAACTTTTCCTGAGGTAGGCCGGGCCCGACCCACCACAGGAAGGAGAACCACGCCTACGCCCGACCCAGCCGCCATCACTCAAGCCCCGGGAAGGTAGCCACGCGGGAGTTCCCAACTTTGAACATCTTTAAAGAAAGGGCGTGGGAAACCTGTAATAGAACGTTGCGGAGTTCAACCATTCAGAAGGATGGGGAACTCAATCTGGGCCTTGCGGCCCGAGGTCAGTCAGCGTCATGGGGTTCAGCAATCAGCTAACTGAGATCAGGGGTCTTCCATCCTCGCTCTGTCTGAGCCATTAAATTGTTTTATCCACTGCAAACATATTTTGGGCTGCTTCTTGTTTTAATTTAATTCACATGGTTTAAAGGTGATTGATTAATTACTACCACAAATTGTCAATTTGTAAGCTGTGCTTGTTCCTATTGTGTTGCTGATTATATCAATTGGGCTAAAGATTGTGATTGATTTAATAAGTTGTCTTCTCTGATATTATGAAAATGAGAATGTCTATGAGTCATTAGAGACTCAAAAGCTAAAGTGCATCTATATCAGGAAGATTTAAGTAATAACCCAGGAATTAAACCAAGGACAACTCAACAACAAAAATAAAAATAAGAAAAAACTTAAGCAAGACACAAAGACAGATGTCCAGTTTACCAATGGCAAACAGTAGGGCAAATGAGGATGAAAAGACTGACAGTGAACCACCAGGACACCCTGCACTCATAGCACAGGAAGTAACAAAACAGATTAATCAGGGTCTAGAAAAATTCAAAACAGAAATAATTTCCCAGATAACCATAGAGATAGCGAGCAAAATGGAAGTCGTGATTCGAGACTCTAGAGCAGAAACTGACAGAAAAATAGATGAGCTCAGGACCATGATAGAAGTCATGAAGGCCCAGCATAAGAAAGAAATGGCAAAAATAAACACCCAACATAGGAAAGAAAGGGAATCCATAAAACAGATTCAAATAGATATCCAGGAGATTAAACACTCTATTGAAAGTGTATGCAACAGAATAAAAGAATGCGAAGATAGGCTCTCAGATATAGAAGATAAGATTGCAGTCAGTGACCAGGAAAAGAGAGGTCTCTTAAAAACAGTAAGAGATCATGAGAAATCGATCCAACAACTCCTAGATAATGCAAAGAAGAATAACATAAGACTGATAGGAATACATGAAGTAGCAGGAGAAAATACAAATGACTTTAAAAAGCTGTTCCCAGAATTAATGACAGAAAACTTTCCAAACAGAGGGGAAGAATTTGACATTCAGATAACTGAGGCATATAGGACCCCAAATAGCTACAATCAAAAAAAATCTACACCTAGACATATAATAATCAAGATCCCAGAAACCCAACAGAAGAACAAAATACTATAAGCAGTAAGAGAAAAGAAACAAACCACATACAAAGGAAAGCCCATCAGAATCACAGCAGACTTTTCAACACAAACCCTTGGGGCAAGGAGAGCCTGGAATGAGATATTTCAAGTACTAAAAGAGAACAACCTCCAACCTAGACTGATGTATCCAGCAAAACTCTCTTTCAAAATGGAGGGGGAAATAAGACACTTCCACGACAAAGAACACCTGAGAAACTACATGAATACCAAACCAGCACCACAAGCACTTCTAAACAAGACCCTAGAAAAAGACAATGAAAGCGGCGCGCGAGAGGGCCGGGCGGGCGGCCGAGTTTTCGAGAGAGAAGTTCACCAAGATGTCCAGTGATAGGCAAAGTTCCGATGATGAGAGCCCCAGCACCAGCAGTGGCAGTTCAGATGCGGACCAGCGAGACCCAGCCGCCCCAGAGCCCGAGGAGCAAGAAGAAAGAAAACCTGCCACCCAGCAGAAGAAAAACACCAAACTCTCTAGCAAAACCACTGCTAAGTTATCCACTAGTGCTAAAAGAATTCAGAAGGAGCTAGCCGAAATAACCCTTGATCCTCCTCCTAACTGCAGTGCTGGGCCTAAAGGAGATAACATTTATGAATGGAGATCTACTATACTTGGGCCACCAGGTTCTGTATATGAAGGTGGTGTGTTTTTTCTGGATATCACATTTTCATCAGATTATCCATTTAAGCCACCAAAGGTTACTTTCCGTACGAGAATCTATCACTGCAACATCAACAGTCAGGGAGTCATCTGTCTGGACATCCTGAATGACAACTGGAGTCCTGCTTTGACTATTTCAAAGGCTTTGCTGTCTATTTGTTCCCTTTTGACAGACTGCAACCCTGCGGATCCTCTGGTTGGAAGCATAGCCACTCAATATTTGACCAACAGAGCAGAACATGACAGGATAGCCAGACAGTGGACCAAGAGATACGCAACATAATTCACGCAACGTGTATGCAGTGTGAAGGGGCAGGAGGCGTCTTCCCACTGTGCTGCAAATCTTTATAGCCTTTACAATACGGACTTCTGTGTATATGTTATACTGATTCTACTCTCTGCTTTTATCCTTTGGAGACTGGGAGACTCCCCAAAAAGGTAAATGCTATCAAGAGTAGAACTTTCTAGCTGTAGATTAGTTATGTTTAAAACGCCTACTTGCAAGTCTTGCTTCTTTAGGATATCAAAATGTATTTTGTGATGTACTAAGGATACTGGTCCTGAAGTCTACCAAATATTATAGTGCATTTTAGCCTAATTCATTATCTGTATGAAGTTATAAAAGTAGCTGTAGATGACTAGGAATTATGTCATTTGTATTAAACCCAGATCTATTTCTGAGTATGTGGTTCATGCTGTTGTGAAAATGTTTTACCTTTGTCAGTTTGTAATGAGAGGATTTCCTTTTACCCTTTGTAGCTCAGAGAGCACTAATGTATCATCTCAAACACAATAAACATGCTCCTGAAGGCATAGTTTCCTGTCGTAATGTTTGAAGTCAGTCTTGTTAGAAGGTGTGTCTGAGATGATTGTTGATGAAATAAAGATGTGGATATGAAGATTGGCTATTAAGGACTAGCACAAATGAATGAATTATTAAATGCGTAGAGTTTTCTTTAAGTCTTGAGAAAATACAATGAGTTGACATACGCAAAACTGGATTTTAAACTGTTGATCTCAAAAACCCTGAAAGTTTTACTTTGAGCTAAAAAAGAAAATCTGACTCACTCTGGAGTCATAATATCTTTAGAACATTTCACTTCCAAATTAGTGATTTCTGTTCAGCATTGCACAGTATTGTCAAATAATAACTTTGGTATGTTAGCTATTGTATGGTGCCTTGTTTTAAATCTTCATCTTAATGTTTATGGTGCCATTGCCATTTTTACTGTGATACTCGGCCACAGGCAGAGTTGAACCCACAACCCTTGTCCGCCTGAAGTCTAGAGAAGAACTGTATGTTAATGTGCAGATGTGGCATTTAGGTTTTCATAGGTTTCTTTCTAGTTGAAATTATTAAATGTATTAAGCTTACAGTTATTAAGCTTTCTTTCAAGCATTTATGAACATATAATTGTGCATTTTTTCATTTGGCATAATTTTCTTTGGTTATATAATCAAACATGTCTACACGTGTCTACTCTGATACTAAATATGGTAATACCATCTTAAAATTTAGAGTTGAATTAGCATAAAATACATTTCTTCAGATAATAAAACAAAACATATAGTAGCACATTTACTAAAAACAAATTAGTATTTCTCAGAAGTTTAAAATCAGAGTAAAAATAAATAAAACTTTTATATCTGTTTTCAATAAAACACTCCAGACCTCAAAAGTATCCTGTTACAAACAAAATGGTACTATTTTGAAAAATTAAGATTTGTTTAGAAAAACCTCTGTTTTTTTTGAAGCAATTTAAATATGTTCAGGGACCATTTTCATCTCCAGAATTAAGGATTATTTTGATGTTACATCATTGCCTTTTCTCTTTTACTTTCCTTTTTAGTTTTATTTTAGGATTCCCTATTTTTAATGTTCATACAGAGATTTCTTTAACTGAAATACCGAATAGTTTCTTTGGTGTGAAAAACTATAATAGTACACAGGATCCTAATGAGATAATTAATAATGTGAAATAGGAAGTAAAGGGCTAAAGGTGTAAGGAAAGTGGGAAGGGTGGGGGAAAGGTAATAAGGGAGGGGAAAAAATATGAGAAACTGAAAAAATGGAAACAAAGTGTTTGTAAATGGGGAGGGGAGGAGGGGGTGAAGGGAGGGCAGGGACAAGGGGAAAAATGAGAATCAAGACCTATTATGTAAAGGTACAGAATCCCAATGATGAATGTAACTGTATTTGTATACCTAGATTGTACCAATAACCTCAATAAAAAGGAAAAAAAAAACTTTTCCTCATTCCAGAGTTATATGACAATTTCCCCATGCTTTCCTGTTTTGTTTTGATTTGCTTTGTTTGGAGACAGGCTTTCACTATGTAGTTTGGACTGTTCTTGAGCTCACTATGTAGCAGGCTGCTGGCCTTATGAATGTAACTGTATTTGTATACCTAGATTGTACCAATAACCTCAATAAAAAGGAAAAAAAAAACTTTTCCTCATTCCAGAGTTATATGACAATTTCCCCATGCTTTCCTGTTTTGTTTTGATTTGCTTTGTTTGGAGACAGGCTTTCACTATGTAGTTTGGACTGTTCTTGAGCTCACTATGTAGCAGAGGCTGCTGGCCTTAAACTCTTAGGGATCCGCCTGCCTCAGCCTCCCAAGTGTTGGGATTACAGGTGAGTGCGAAAAAGAATAGGGAAAATGCAGGTACTCTAGCTGATCCTGTTAGGCTCATAGTCCATTTCAAATTTCCATTGACTTGTCCAAAGATATACAATACTGAATCTGCATGTGCAGTTTCCTTTATAAAGTACAGGGTTCACATTCTAGGCAGTCTTTAAACCATATAAATACAAAGGAAATTACTGACTGACAAGTGCATCAAATGAAGGGTATTTCAAAGGTAAATGTATGCTATTGATAATAACAATGACGATGAAAGCCAAGAACTGGAAAAGCAGTTACACTTTCTGTGTGGACAGTTACAACAATCATTTTCTGCAATGACCTTTACATTTTCAGTTTATCATGAACTTACTATGAGACACAGCCAAAGTCAGAAGACAAGCTGTAGGGAGAATATTCCTGTTTTTGGAGGACAGTAAGCCCCCCAGAATCAGTGTGAGAAATGAACATGCCACCGATTCCAGGAAAAAAATGATGGTAGTCAATTTCAACTCATGCTGAGCTGACTTAATCATTTCCTTCACTTGTTTTCATTCTTCTAAATCAAGTGTGCTTAATTCTTCTTCCAATTCATCCAGATATTCCCCGTAGATTTTCATCAATAGGAATAGTCCAAGGGCTCCATTTTCCTGTCTCTCCACTTCGTTGTCCTCCGAGTCACTGCATTCACCATTTTGGGCCCTACTTCCAGAAGCTTCTCTTAATTTGTTTTCATCTTTATCGGAAGCGTGTGTGCTGAATCTTTTGAGACTGGCTACAGTAATGCCTGCCTCATCTACGTTTCAGGTTTACGTCTATGTCATTTGCACTCATGGAATCATCAAGCTCATCACCACCCGCTTCCTCCTCAATATCACTGACCAGTCCAGGATGAAATTCAAACATGAGACCACTGGTCACTGGTGCCTTCCCTGCTTTGAAGTCAGTTTTCCTTCTTTCTATATCATGTTCAAGTTTGTCAATCTTTTCTTGTCTTTTCCTTTTCTCCCACGCAAGAAAAGATTCTCGAGTGATTTTGGTAACATGTGGACCTAGGGTAGAATACTCTCTTTCAGTGATACCATCTCATGCAATTTCTTCTTCTTTCTCTCATCTTTTTCCACACAAATCCAGGAGGAAGTACACAATGATACCCAGTTTCACCCCTCCAGGGCACACCTCAAGCCAGCCATACTTGTTATTTCCAATAGCTCCAAGGAAATGCCTGCAGACTATTCGAATTCTTTTCTTTTTTCTTTTCTACCTCATCATGCTTCTTGCTCATGGCTCCTTCCAGCCTTTTCTCATCTCAGTTATCCATTACATCCTTTCTTAAGTTCTTCGTCTCTTGCATCAATGTAAACACTTCGTTTTTTATCTTTTTCCTTCAAAGCCAGGTCATGAGAGAATTTGCACTTAGCTCCTTTAGTGTGCTGCCCTTGCGTGAAGGCACATACCATGGATTTGGGATCTTCACTTATTTTCTGCACAGTGACTATAGGATTGAAGAGCTCGTTTAGCTCCAACAAATTTTTTTCTTTTGTTTTGGTTTTTTGAGACAGGGTGTCACTATGTAGTTGAGACTGATTTGGAACTCACTATGTAGCCCAGGCTGGTCTCGAACTGGCAGCGATCCTCCTGCCTCAGCCTCCCAAGTACTGGGATTACAGCCGTGCGCCACCACGCCCAACCTTCTACAATTCTATTTGTCATCTTTCTTCAACTTCTTTTCAGTGTCACTTTGTGACACGTGACATGGATTTTCTTCGCCAAATTTAACTTGATGAGTGACCACCTTGATAAACTTCTGTGGCTTTACCCCTTTTTTTATTCCTTAGAACAAAAGCTTTGTCTTCAATAATCTTCTTTTTCTGCTCCAACTTTTTGCCGCTCCCCAGCCTGAGCCTGTTTCTTTTGAAGCAGTGATCTGATTCAAATTTCGCAATTATTTCTTTTTTTAACTCTACCATGGTTCTCACAGTTTTCCTCTTAGCTTTACTGCTGGTATTACCAACTTTCTTTGGAGTCATGGTTATGATATTTTATGCAAGCCAAGTGCAAAAAGAAAAACCCAAAACAAAAGCCACAATGACAAATGTTTTAACACACTAACACAAGCACTACATGTTGTCCAAACAAGAGTGGTGCTTAGACCGAAGCGTCTAAGCAGTTCGTGACTCACTTTTGGCCCCTACAGGTCTTTTTCAAGCCAGATTTTTGGTCTGACTATCAAGCAAAGTTCAAACTTGGAGTCGTTTGACAACCAAGATATCATTGTATTAAAAAAAAAAGGAAGTCCAAACTATTATCACAATATAGAAATGCCCCATATGTGTGGGCAAGGTCTAAAAGTAAACAATAAAAAAGTGTTCAAGTAATGCATTAACAAATTCATCAAGCTTTCACTAAGCTACACAGCCTCAGCAACCTTTCATAAACAGCAGGTAGTGCGAGTTCAAAGTACTTTCCTTCTCCCTCCGAGTCCACTAGATGGCACTGGAGTTCAGCCTCCGTCTAATAATGGATTTAAAATCCGTACTTTCAGAGCAGGGCTCATCTGAATTTTTGTTCACCTTGTTCCACTGGGAAATCCTTTTCTTCTGCAGCCAGCAGGGCCACAAACCTCATTTTTAAAAATTCAAATCCTCTAAGTGCTTCCTTTACATCCCCCTCCTGCATGCAAATGTTTTTTACCCTCTGTCCTATATAAATACTTCTATCACAGAACTGTGACTCACTATTTTTACCTGCTCTGCACCTACTAACCTGTGTACATTATCTGAGGTCTGTACTGATGAGCTCTTAGTTGATGCCTGGCTTCTGACAGCTTCTGCGTGCAATGTACCAGTTCAAGAGAGGCTGAGTTGGGGGATCAATCCCCAGTACTGAAAAAATAAATAAATACACAAATAATAAACAAATTCTAAAAATCAAGAAACAAACAAAAACCAAGATAGGATGTTACACTGCAGGAACAAAACCTCCTAAATCTTAGTAACCGAAAACAACGAAGATTTATAAGGTTTATTTCCATTCACCTAAGGGCTCAGCTCAGCGCCCTCTGCCCCCAACAATGTACACTAATGGGACCACTCCAGACAAAGCAATCATGGTGACTGCAGCAAATGGAAAAACTGGGCTTGCAGGTTGGGAATTGGCCCTCAAATAGTACAACCTTGAAGGGATATTGGTTGCTTTCACTTACAATTTGCTGGCAAGAATTAATGATATAGCCCATTCAGCCACAAGGCGGTCAGGAAGTACAGTGGACCCTTGACTTGCGACCTTGATTGGTTCCCAAGGGCTGGTTGTAACTAAATTAATACAGCTGAGATCTGGGTGTTTACCCGAGTGTACACTTTAGATACCATGCAAGAAGCTGATGAATCTTCCATTAACCTAATTATCCCAAGTTGTTCAGATGTCAGGCTGATCATTGCTGTGACCCACACAGCATAGGGTCTGAAGCTGGGAAGGGCAGTGGGAGATGAAAAAAAAAAAAAAAAAAAAAAAAAA